ATATGTATATATATTTATTTATATAAGTATATATACTGTCTCTTATACACATCTAGATGTGTATAAGAGACAGGTATAGAGCAGAAGTCCCCAATTTTGGTTTTTGAGATTCGGCTAATGGGCACAATGCAGCTAATGCTCGTCTATGTGCGGTCGGGCGACTGAGCGCCTCCGTTTTCAACCAACCAACCAACCAACTCATAAATATCTGTCTCTTATACACATCTAGATGTGTATAAGAGACAGCTTCTAAACTAAAGGTCGTAGAGCAAAAGTAAAGACACAGAAATTTGCAGAATCCCTTGGGGCATATTTTTATTGAAGAAATTTTAAATTTGGATTTACACAGAAATTTAGAAAAATAAAAATGTGTACCAAATCGCCGATTTTTGAGAATAAAATCGTCAAAATGATTATTTTTTCTAAGGGAAGGTGTTGAAATGGGTTGTGAGACGATTTCCGAGTATCTTTCCATCTATTCCGAGTCCTCTCTATTTATTCCCAATCCAAAACTTTTAAATTGGCACATTTTGTCCATAAACGATTAGTTTTTGATCATAGTATCCAACTTTTTGTTTGATAATTATTTTTGACAACTAGGCAGTCCAGATGTGATGGGTTTAAATGCCATAACTATTTATATCTAACTATAACTATTATATCTAAATTTTCAAATGTTTTTCTTATCGGTTCGTACCTTAGTTTGAAACAAACTTCCAGAGTTTGGTGAGTTCGGTCGGTCGTTCCAGCCGTTTCAGAAAAATTTTGCTCACCGAGTCTGAAAACAGCGTAACGAGAAGAAGAGATCTTACTGGCATCGTTGGAATGTCGGTAGGATCAATGAAAACCAATTTTGAAGATCATTTGGATCTGTCTCTTATACACATCTAGATGTGTATAAGAGACAGGGTTCTACAATCACTAAGTTTTTTCGAAAAACAGCGTCACGTTAAACAAGTCTTGAATCTCTGTTTAAGATCCGGAAGCAGACGATCAATCGGCTGAATATCATGGCAAAGCTAGCTGCAGCCCTCTTATACACATCTAGATGTGTATAAGAGACTGAGTGTGTATCTATGCTTACGATCCGGAAGCAGACGATCAATCGGCTGAATATCATGGCAAAGCTAGCTGCAGCCGAAAAAGCCAAGCCAAAGCTGGTCAAAAATCAAGATTATATTGACTTTGCTTTGTATATCGAGGTGCGGAGCACTCCGAATTCCTAACGATCGATCAAACTGTAAACAAGAAATATTAGTTAAGTGTTATGCGTCGTTTGTGTGAAGCTAGGCGTAAAAAGATGCCGAAATTATGGGCCGCTAACTACTACATACTACATTGATTCTCGTAAGTTTTTCACCAAAGTTGCTGCCAATATCGTGCCGCAGCCACCGTATTCGCCTCATTTCTTCGCGGCTATAACTTCTAACCTTCAAGGAGCTTAATGATCTCGGACAGTTTTAGGGAATTGTGTCTTCAGCTGCACTCAATCGGGGCCTCCCATCTTCCTTCTATTGCTATGTGACTGCGCATGCGGATGATGTTAGCCGAGTTACCTACTAAAAGTCTAGTTATTGCYTGCTTGCCTAACCTAAGGCAAAGATACTAAGTATTTGCGCTACGTATAGCCTTACTTACTGCTTGCAATATATTAGAATGATATTGGACATGCTGGTTGGAGCAGAAGCTCGCTTAGCTGTTTATTAAAAGTATAGAGCAGAAGTCCCCAATTTTGGTTTTTGAGATTCGGCTCTTGGGCACAATGCAGCTAATGCTCGTCTATGTGCGGTCGGGCGACTGAGCGCCTCCGWTTTCAACCAACCAACCAACCAACTCATAAATATAGCTGGTAAATTTTTGTGACYTCCTACTTCAAAATCAAGCAAATATTTGTATTTGTATTAAAAAGCAATTATATTAGACCATAACTTTAGTTCATGCTGCATTTTATTGAATTTGCCTTCATTTGTATTTCAACAGGATCTACATGGTTTGGCATATATTTAATCTATCGCTACAAGATAATCCTCTAAACCAGAAATTTATTGCACATTTAAGCCAAGCATGCAGCGCACTGAACAGTATTTATAGATACTAAAAACCGCTTTGCTTTTTCGCCACACAACGGCATTTGTATGTAGCGCTGTGCTTATTTTAGTCAATTAATCATTATGAAACAACACAACTTTCCAAGCGATAAATCACGATTGCGCGCAACACTGCCACAAACGTAAGCGCAGATTTTTGCATGCTACATACMACTGAATATACATAAATATACATACATAATGTGGTCACGATATGTGTGCTGTATAGAAAATATTTTATATAAAATAAATGTCATGACAATAACTAGGGGACCGAAATGGCAAAGCTTCGTGTTTTAATTGCTGCCAGTAGTTATGGCACACAATTGAGGTTAGGTGGGGTACAAAATAGTTTTTTGTAACTGGGAAAGAGTGCAAAGCGATGAGAGAAGTTGAAATGTGTATATTACAAAAGTTTATATATACAAAACAAGAAAATCATTAAAATAGCCTACASAAATATGTAATAAAAGATCTCACWTGAAACGTTGAKTTTGTATKGCAGCTATAGGCTATAGTGACTCGATCTGCACAATTCTTAAGAATATTTCAGCGTTGCTTTGGACAATAATCGAAGCCAATTTTGGTGAGGATAGCTCGTCATATGAGAAACTTTTCCATACAATCACTTTATTCAGATCGAGCAGTTTGTATAGCAGCTTGCTTTAGTGGCCCGATTTAAAATATTTCTGCAGATATAGCATGGTCTTGGAAAATAGTTCGTGCTAAAKTTTGAAAAAATACTTGTCGAATAAAAAAGTTTTCCATAGAAGCACCTCACTCCCATCGTATAGKTTGTATGGCAGTCATACGCTATAGTCATCTGATCTCAAACACTTCTTCGAAGTTTGCACTATTATCTGAGTTAATTTTTCTTGYAGATATATCTTCAAATAAARAAGTTTTCCATACATTTGATTCAGATCGAGCACTTTGTATGGCAGCTATACGCTATAGTGATCCGATATCGGCGATTCAAACAAATGATCAGCTTCTTGGTAAGAAAAGGACTTGTGCAATATCTCAGACCGATATCTCAAAAACTGTGGCACTATTTCGAGTTTTTACAGGCGGATAAGCCTAAAGCGACTTAGGAGGTCATACTGATCTTTTATATATCATGTCACTTAAAGTGCAAAATAACGTAATATCAGTTTTCACAAGTTGACAGCCGAAGAAAATACGATATAATAGAAAGCACTCACATTGAAACAAAATATGAGTTTTCTTTATAAAGTGGTTATATATTGATTATATATTGGTTCTATCTAACAGTGGAAGCTGAAATTTTAATGCTACATACATGTATTATGACAGGCCAAAAATGACATATAGAAACCACTCATATTGAAAAAAATGTGAGTTATGTTAYAGAATGGTTATATATCGGTTATTTTTTTATATCGGAAGCTGAAAATTTAATGCTTTATACATACATACATACATGAAATATGCTGTAGTGAATCATAAGCAATAAAAAACATAGTCTCGATTTTTTTGACAATACCTAGTTTTGCACTTTAGGTGACGTTCTTCTTTATAAGGTCTCCAACATTTCGAATTRCAAATATCATGACAAACTTAGGTTATATTCAGGGTATAACAACTTTAATTTTCAGTTATTTAATATGAGGTATACTCAGTAAATGTATACACTATATAACAAGGATATTAAAACATACTTTAAACTTTTTTTTTCAATTTAATTGCTTACTTAGTTCTACAGATCATTAAATTGATAAGCAGCATGATCAATAAATGGTATTAAATATGTAAAAATCCATTTAAAATTCCAAAATATTTTTTGAGAGTTCGGCAAAGTCTTTTAAGACCGCTTTACTGTCTTTAACCTTACAACAAAATAGACATACGAATTATACGATGTATATTATTGTACCACAGCGTTTATTCCT